TTTAACACAACTCGGCAACGCCACTTTGCAGCGCCCATCTCTAACTACTAAACCAAAAGAAACGCTTCCCTGTTCCCATGTGCAACTTTTTTCTAAAAAAACTTCGATTTTCTTGAAAAACACGGCTTTTTGATGAACACGGATTTGAAACACGGATTTGTCATGCATCAATGGGCATGCATGACAAATGTGAAATGTGTTAAAACAGATCCACGAATCGTTAACTTTCGTAAGTCAATTAGAATTATGAGCAATATGTGCTTTCCGCAGATGGTTCTGATCACCGTAATCCAAATTTGGAATTATGCTGGGCTTGATGTCTAGATAGAGTGTAGCATATGACAGATGACGTCACGCGAGCGCAGCTCGCCTAAGGAGGTTATACTAAAATTATATATATAAGTGACTTTTGATAAGGGAAAAGGAAAAAGATTAAGCGTGGTTTCGTTACTGCCTCTCTCTCATTAGACTCGCTCGCTGGATTCTGTGCCGACCGGTTGTGCCCTCGCGATCTCCGATGACAGCGTAGCTCTGGCCGACTGGGTTGGTCCTACGCCACCTCCTGCCACCGGTCCCCTACGACTACGAGAGCGTAGTTCTGGCTGACTGCATTAGGCCTACGCCATCTCCTGTCGCTGACAAGAGCTCTCGCCAGTGATGCCCCGTCCTCGGAACCATATGTCGGTCTAGGAAACCCGCCCATGTATCGAAATGATGCCGCAGCATGCCATATTGCACACGACAGAAGGAGGCGGCGACTGCCTTGTAGCGCCGTAATGCTCTGCAGGCGCTTGAGACCGTGCGTTTCGTTATAGCTACTAAAGCACCTGTTGATTATTCTTCGGAGGCGAGAGAACGTGGGAGGGACTTTAATGCACATCTGCTTGATATTTTTTTTACACTTATCGTTTTAAGCGTGTTAAAAAAACGCTAGGCCTGTGCGAAACGCGCAGCACAGTCACCGCTAAAGCTTGAAGAGCACCCTTTCAGAGCCTTTTTTAAACACTCATTGGGTTGCTACAAGTACACTGCTGGGTACCCACAGCGCCATAAATAATAATAAATTTCGTGTAGTAGGCCAGTATTCCCCTTTGTCATTCTTTGGAGAAGTGTGGTATCCGCTACACACTTGAAATTTTGTGCATTTTTTTATGCAGTGGCGGACGATGATGAAGCGGGCCGCCATATTCTGCGCGAGCTCGGCTTCTCCTCGAGGGCCAGGGACCCCCCAGAGTTGACTCGAATTCCCCGTGAAATCCGCGACCTTATTACGATCGCTCCCATTCCACGAAATGTACACCCTGAATACAACAAAGGCAGGCGCCTTGCGCGGGCGACCGCCATTCTGAAGTGCATAGACATGGAAGTGGACAACGTCTCGTTCGTGGATGCCGCTGCCTATCACAGCAACCTAGCATTCGCCGTGGTCGTGGTATCATCCGCGGCAGACTCTTAACTCTGCCACAATCCTCACCCAAAACCCAGAAGTAGCGGAGCAAGTAGCTATATGCTCGACAGCAAACGGGAATTCATCTACAGCGATTCCAGACCGGCCATTAAAGCCTTCGAACGCGGAGTCATCTCCGACCAGGCGTTACGTATCCTGCGAAAAGCGGGCCCGAGTACCCTGAAGCACCGCACTGTCATCTGGTTCCCCGCCCATCTCGGTCAGGTGCCGGGTGCCCTATCCAACCTCAACGAGATCGCCCATGATGCAGCGCGTGCACTTACCGACCGCACCGCCACAGGGCAACCCCATCTTGCTGAGTTAGAGACCCGGAATGCACCCATTATGTACAATGACATAACAAGGCACTTTTACCTGGAACGCCGCATTTTCCCACATCCGAAACTTAACAGACCACAAGCATTAACCCTACGCCTATTACAGACACACACGTATACCCAAACCTTGCCACGCTTCACGTTTATTATCCTGATGCATACCCCAGCGACACATGCCCATCATGTGGACACACAGCGACACTCGCACACATGCTCTGGGCATGTAGAACAACTCCTCCCGACCCTACCTCAAGCAAGTGGGAGAGGCCCCTCAGGAGCTCACTTCTTGCCGACCAGCAATGGGCCGTCCAGCATACTCCCTGTTGGTCCCTACGTGGGAGACGCCCGCTACGCGCTAAGCGCGTCCTGCTGGACTGATATAAAGTTTTTTTTTTCATTCCATTCCATGAAGTGAGTATGTACCACAGTTAATACGTGATCAAGAACAAGTTTCTTACTGGGTTGGAGCATTGGGCGACCCAGTCGTTACGCAATTCGCCTTGTGCGACGCCTGGCTGTTCCTTTGATGTTATAAAACGCTTTTTTACTCGTATTAACGCGATTACTTTCCCGGCATCAAGCCCGCCTAAGGCCAGTTTAGAAACGAGTTCCAAGCACTGGCATGGATCAGTGGTAGAATACTAGACTGGCACGCAGTGGACCCGCGGGTTGGAATCCTATTGTGTCATTTGTGTTTTTTTTTATTTGCCGAGTTTTTTTTTTTTCGTTCGATACTGGTTAAAGGCGGCGGCGGATAACTACGGCGCTGCGCGTGACCCATGTTCTGATCTCATAATAGCTTTCGCTGTGAAAAAAAAAAAAAGGTATACTCGGAGATATCAATTCGCAAATATGTGATTACGGTTGCCTCACAGCAGAAGTAACCAGTGAGGAGGTGCAGCGATAAGTTTCACTCGCACACAACCATAAGCCCTTGGCGAGTAACAGTGCAGCTTGTGTGCAAACTCTTTTTATTATGGGAGGGGGGGGGGGGGGTATTCGCCTTTTCACGTACCCGTGTGAGAAGCTCTTGTATATCCTGAGAAAACGATGCCTAGAAAACTTCAATTCCTTCATCAGATGATATGCTCTGCTCTATTATCTGTCTGGTCAATAAAATTCCGAGAAGCCTCAATATATATATATATATATATATATATATATATATATATATATATATATATATATATATATATATATATATATATATATATATATATATTATAAAAGGACCCACTGGTACTGCTACCCTTCTTTTTCAGCTGTTAATTGTACCTCGTTAACGATTAATTCAGTTTTTGCTTTTTCTTTTTTTTTTGCCTGCACCACTTATACTCCTTTGTGGGTGAAGTTTAGGGGTGTCAAGATTTTGACAGCTTTATCAATGAGATGAGCTTTAGGTGAAAGTGTTTATTTCCCTGACTTTTCAAAGGAGGATCGTTTTCTTTTTCTCTTACGTAAAGAGAGGCATATCGCAACATCAGAAATTTATTTTGGTATTGGGAGAGTAGTGCTAATTCAAATATAGGAAACTCAAAATCCCAGAAATGCAGAGCCGGTGTGACATTAACTACCTTTCAAAAGCGAAGCGCTCACTTGTATTGGACACACTCACGCACTGGCTTTTGTAAGTGCGCATGGAAACGATGCAAACACGGTAGTAATGTTACAAGCCCGTCGTCTTGTTATTTACCCTGCATCATCGAAGCAGCCTGCTTCAACATGTGTACTGAGCATAATTAAGTCGTCATTCTTTTTTGCCGCTTAACCTTAATTCTCGCCTCGGAGCACACTCTCATGTGCCGCGCAATATGACGTCTTTGGAATCCTGAAACGTACAAAAAATATGCAAATTACGCGTCTCTGTGCAACCCGGACGCAAAAAAAATGCCGCCATATCCACGAAGTGAATGATGATGAGTGGGCGAAGCTCCGGAGGTAAACCTGGTAAACCATGAATCCTCCGTACATTTTGCCCACTCGATTTTATTGCAACGCTCCACCTAGCGTACGTCGCCGCACTATATCGAACGATGACACGCGCCATATGTGGCATCATTCCTATTTTATAACACCTCGCATCTTTCATAATCAACTACACGTACCGCCGTCTAGTTTATAACATCTTGCATCTTTTGGATGGATGGATGGATGGATGGATGGATGGATGGATGGATGGATGGATGGATGGATGGACGGACGGACGGACGGACGGACGGATGGATGGATATGGCTGTACCCTTTAGATCGGGCGGTGGCTAGCGTAATACTTAATGCCGTCAGCTACAAGTACCGCCATCTAGTGAACACTGCAAGAACTGAACGAGAGGTGGCTACATACAGGGGACGCACAGCCCACGCCTTAAGGAGCTTCGCTCCTAAAAGGAAAGCTATGTACTCGCGAATGCAGTTGGCGTTGTTACTAACACATCGAAAGCTGTGCTCGGTGTCCGCTTCACACGGTTCGCGCTGCCAAGTGCTACCCAAGAGCCCACCATCGTCGTCTCGAAAAGTGATCCCAGACGTGTTCAGAACAATTTTGTTCAATAAGAGGCATCACACGCAACACTGCTAGCACAAAAACAACGCGAAAGCCACGTACGCTACAATGCGCCTATCCACGTTCTGCCCTGGGCAGTATGACGGCGCCACGGAGCCCAACTAAGCCACGGAGCCCAACTGGTAGGTGTTCTGTGGCCTCTCTGCTCTTTAGTATGACCTCCTTGAGCTCGCCTCAACATCATTCCATCATCCACATGCAGCGTGCAGTATGACCTCCGAGATCTCAAAGGCCATGACTCATGACTGATCAAGGAGCATGGCCTTTGAGATTTCAAGATAACAAGAAGAGCTGCTGGATAACAAGAAGAGCTGCTAATTTAGTTTTTGCAGGCTCAAAGATCACATGTGGAAAGTGCAGTCAATGGTGTTTGAGCTTACACATCAAGTACACAGTAGTTGTACAACTGCTGGCTCGTGTGCGTGTTGGAAGGTGCACTCAGAGTTCCAGCAGTTCCAATGTCGAGAAACGTGTAAAGAAAGCAATTTGGTTTCTGTGGCCCTCAAGAGACCGTTTTGAAAGCAATTTTATAAGCGGAAATCAAAAGGCGTAAAGTTTTATGCAAACAATTGAGCCGAAACTGGTCTAATGCTTTTGTATCCAAAGGCAAAGTCATTAGCCAACTTCAGGTCATCTATTGCCATTTTCGCCGCTGTTGAGGCGGACGGTGCGTCGAACAGCCATGGAGTCGGCGCCTCGTTTGCCGATGCTTTCCTGTGAATTGAAAAGTAGCCCGTCAAATGCGGAATTCGGTCCATTTCTAAAGAAGGTGAGCATGAAGGGTTCGGCTCCTAGCGCGTTGTTTACTCTGAGGAAAACCCGAGTAAATTTCGCTCTTGGTTACGCGTCCTGACTAAATGTCATAATCGCGGCTTCACGAAACGCTCCTCGAGTATGCAATGCGTGTTGTTAATATACATCTGCGTTAGTGCACGCTTTGTGATCCGGCCTTCAGTGGGCGTACCGATTGTAGTAAATTTTATAGGGCCCGTAATTTGTAGAAAAAATGAACGGCTGCGCCGAGTGCTTGTCATTGATGTCGAAAGTGTTGAACGCGATTTTACAATCGTTATTTGCAAGCGATCAGCATTTTCACTGCTGTTGGTAAAGGCAGACATCCCTTGTGTTTGTTATTTGTTTATTTGAAGAGCAATCTTAGCGAAGAGATTGTTCGGTAGCTCGTTCATGTGAGTTTACCGATTCAGGTTCACGTGACTGCTTCGGCGTTTCCCGATTGTTGTTAATGCGGTTTGATGACCCACAGCCTTTTGCGTGGTGAGTGAAAATGCGGTTCACTTCATTACTTCAGAGGCTTGCTCGCTGCCGCCCAGAAAACTAAACGTCGCTAAGTTGACGGAACGAATACTAGCTCTCAATCGTCCCATGTTTTCGCTGACATTTTGTTTTCATGTCGGCAGTCTATTCTGCTTTCCGGCGCGGACGCTTAGGTGCCATAATTGTGACCAAACACTGTGCTTGTGCAGTTAATTTTCTCACGTTCTCAGTGGACCTTCGCACGAATTGCGCCGTACTAAAATGATGATGATTGCTTATCGTTAGGAAACTGTGTTGTGCTGTCTCAGGCATTACTTTCCCTCATGTTTGCACTTCGGACAAAGAAGTTGATAGGGGCTGATGTAGCTGTTGTTGTTTGAACTCTTGTGCACCATACGTAGTGCATTTTTTCCCATCCTAATGCTGTGGGATGTCGTAACGAATACCTTAAAAGGCAATTTTCACGCCTTGCTTTACGGTCCTGCATAATCGTGGCACTTGAAAAAAAACAAAAAAACGCTGTGGTTAATGAACCGAAGTTTACTTGTTTGCTGCTTGCATGATAATATAGTGAGTGAGCAATTAGTTCTGCTTGTGAAACAGGAGGCGGAGAGATGTATACCGTGAGTGTAATAGCTATGTAGAGGCTATATTCACTTCTTCTGAACTATATGGCTATTATGACAGTACTGATATTCAGTGGGCCACTGCTGTGATAGAGGGAATGTTGATTACTGTGTGCAAAGCTGCAGTCCACTTAAAACACATTATGGCTTATCTTGTCAGTGAAGCCAAGTTAAAGATTAGACAAATTGTGCATGTTTTTCTTAGCAAAGCTTGTGCAGTTATGTTAATGTGGCATTATGATAACCTTGTCTTGACTGTTCATTTGCCTTGTATAAACAATGACAGAAAATATAGAGAGTTATTTTAACCTTTTTTTTTTCGAAGTGTGCATTTGTACTTGCATCATAGATGCAGTGTCGCACCTAAATTATGACAAAAGCATTTTATGGTGCAGTATCGCCTCTGGCCATTGCTTAGTGTGAGATGTTTATAGCCGTGACACAATTGACCTAAGGCTTTTGTTGCGGATAGTAACCTTAAGAGACAAGAAGAGAGCAAAGTAGGTCAGGGAACAAACCAGGGTTAAGGATATCATAGTTGAAATCAAAAAGAAGAAATGCACACCGGCCGGGCATATAGCACGTAAACAGGATAACCGCTGGTTATTAAGGTTAACGGAGTGAACTCCCAGAGAAGGCAAACAGGCGAGGGGAGGCAGAAAGTTAGGTGGGCCGATGAGAATGCAAAGTTTGCAGGTATTACGTGAAAGCTGAAAGCACAGGACTGGGTTGATTGGCAGATCATGGAAGAGGCCTTTACCCTGCAGTGAGCACAGTAAGGCTGACGATGATGACTTAATTCTACAGTAAGATCAGCTGTAAAAAGGTAATATGCCTTTGCTGGGAAACCTTGAATGATTTGCCTAACTGTTGAACCTTGTCAGCAAAATTTACCAGCATTCATTAATCTTATGTCTACTATGAGAAAAAGAATGGATGCAGTTATCAACAATCAAACCTAACTGATTTTGCCAGCACCTTTTATTGTAAAGCAACAATGTGTGTAAAAGACTGACAATGGGTGCCTGAAAACTGTGACTTAGCCGGCAGTGAGCTAACTGATCCTGAAGTAAGCAATAACTGCTGTACCTAGCACCTCCATTCATGCAAAAATACCGTGCTCGCCATGTTACATGAACTCTTTGTGGACATTGCTCATGAGAAATTGCATAGCAACTTACTGGCTTCACCTAGGCCACTGGTATAATAGTGTGGCACAACTTTTCACTTTTTTTTTTTTAATTATGATAGCTTAGCATGTAAGATGTTGTTCTGCTAAGCAAAAAAATGCAGGTTTGATTCTCGGCAGCGACTGCATTTTGATGGGGGCATGATCCAAGAATGCCCATTTGCTTAGTTGAAAAATGCACGTTGAAAAATCCCAGGTGCTTGAAATTAATCTGGAGTCCCCCATTACAATGTGCCTCATAATCATATTGCAGTTTTGGCATGTAAAACCCCAGAAATTACTATCAATATACTACATTTTACCTCCCAGCTACACTTAAGCAAAGTCATGCCAATATGGTCTACTGGATTCACCTGGATGTTGCCTTCATTTGACACTGTATGCGCTTTATATTGGTTGTGTCGGCAGCTCATACTGCAAATGCTGCGTATTGTCTGTTACATTTAGTTTCATATTTGTGCTATTTCCATCAATATCTGTCACTAGAAAAGATGTTGGTGTCAATACTCTCAGCCATCAGAGTGCTAACACTAAATGTCAGTTGTATTTCATCTGCAGTGTGCAATAAGACAGTGTCAGCAACTGTTGCAAGAGCTGTTACAAACTATTCGAAGAGTACTGCACTAGATTCATCATTTAATGAAATGACTGCGTGACATTGGTAGTGTATATACACCTGAACCACTTTATAAGAGGCATGCACCAGGTAGCAATGCTTGACTTTTATATTATTAGGTATCTCTAATAATCAGGGTGCCATGTATATATTTTCTTATCAACCCCTACTTCGATGTAGGTGCATAGATGTCTCTTATACCCATTTGTCTCTTACATCAGTGCCTCTTATAAAGGGGTTCAACTGTATAAGCAACATATTCCTGTCTACATCATAACACTTTATCACTTTTATTCCCCTTTTCTTTTTCCTTTAGATTAGATTTGCACAGAGCTTACTATCTCAAGGCTGTCTTATTTGCCTTCCTCTAATAAGCCTAACACAACAGACCTAATTGAATTGGCAGAACTTTTGAAGTTAACCAGTAGACATAAGGTAGCCAACACAAGAAGGTATAACATTAAGAGAGTTGCACATACTCTAAAGAACGGACGATGCCTCAAAGCTGTGGTGAGAAAACTGGGCATAGGCAAAAACCATTTATATGCACTAAAGGACACGAAAGGCAAAGTCACTATCAATATGGATTGGATAGTTGAGGTGGCAGGGGAGTTCTACCGAGATCTCTACTGTAGCTGGGACAACCTGGACAATACTGTAAAGCCTACTAGTAGCTCGGAGGAAGTGGACATCCCACAAGTAACGACAGGGAAAGTAAGGGCAGCCTTGGAGAGAATGCAATGAGGCAGAGTCGCTGGTGAGGATTGGGTAACATCAGAATTGGTAAAACACTGTGGACTGCTAGATAAACTGGTCACCTTGTATACGAAGTGTCTCTTGATGATTACGGTAGCAGAATCTTTGAAGATCATCTTAATCCAAAAAAAGGGGGAAGATGCCAAGGAATAAAAAAATTACTGGCCAATCAGCTTACTGTCCATTGTCTACTAGCTATTTACAAAAATAATAGCTGTTAGAATTAAGAAACCATTAGAATTCAATCAACCAAAGGATCAAGCAAGACTTCATACAGGCTACTCAACATTAGACTATAAGGATACTATCAATCAGGCGATAGAGAAATGCGCAGAATACAGCCAACTCCTATATATAGCCTTAATAGATTACGTGAAGGCATTTGATTTGGTCGTGATATCAGCAGCCATGTAGGCACGATGAAATCAGAGCATCAATGAAGCCTATATAAACATACCGGAAGATATCTACAGCAGATCGACAGCCACCATAGTCCTTCATAAAGAAAACGGCAGCATGCCAATTAAAGAGGGTGTAAGGCAAGGAGACACAACCCTCCTGGATGCATTTCACTGCATGTTTACAGAAGGTTTCAGGGCCCTAGATTGGAAAGAGTTAGGTGTAAAAGTTAATGGAAGTACCTTAGCAACCTGCAATTTGTTGATGACATTGCATTGATGAGTAGTTCAGGGGATGAATTGCAACTAATTATTACTGAATTGGACAAGGAAAGCAGAAGTGTAGGTCTGAACAATTATATGCATAAAACTAAAGTTATGTAGAACAGTCTCGGGAGAGGACCAAGCTTTGCAATAGGTAGGGAGACAATGTAGATGGTAAAGGAACACGTCGACATGAGACAGGTAGTAACAATGGAACCTAACCATGAGAGTGTAATAGAAGAATAAAGATGGGGTCTAGCACGTTTGGCAAGCATTCTCAAATCAAAAGTGGTGGTTTATTACTATCCTTCATAACGGCTGCATGTTACGGTTATTTGCCTTGGACAAGAAACCTAGGCTTACAAATAGGGTTCAGCTTAAATTGAGGACAACATAGTGGGAAATGGAAGGGAAAATTATTGGTGTAACTTTAAGAGACAGGAGAAGAGTAGAGTTGGTCAGGGAACAAAGAAGTGTTAAGGACCTTGCAGTTGAAGTCAAGAAGAAGAAATGAACATGGGTGGGGAACATAGCCCATAGGTTGGGTAACAACTGGTCATATATGGTAGCCTAATAATGTCTGGTTTGGGCAAGTTGATTGTTAGCTGGGAAGAAATTCATAGGCACAGAATAATGAGACAAGAATTATGTCCATGTCTCTTCTACGTCTTCGTTCTTTGTTCCGCACTTATGAATTCCTTGCCAGCTCATTCGGGATAACTGATTGGATTCTAAGAGAAGGCTACTGCAAGGAGGAGAGACGGGAAGTCAAGTGGCCAAACGAGATTAATAAGTTTGCAGGTATAACGAGGCAGCAGCAAGCACAGGACCCAGCTAATTGGTGGAACCTAGGAGAGGCATAGAGAAACATACTTACGTAAAGAGTGGGCACTCCCGTAGAGCCCTGCAGCCGAGCTACTGCACTGCTGTTAGTGCCTCGAGCGGCTGGTCAGACCAATAATGTCTTCAGCATAATTAAATAAAACAAATTTTTAAAAAATTTCCAATGCTGGGATTTGAACTCGTACCTCCATGCTATGAAAGACGGTGTCCTTACCACTAGGCTCACACCCATGCATCCACAAAGAGAATACATGTACATCTAAACCACATGAATGTGTACCTTTTGTGTAAAACAAATGCAGAAAACAGCATTTTCTAGTCAGACCTTACTGCCTTTTATAGTAGTGCATTATAAACATCCTCAGCCGACATAGAGCCCACATGGAGAATTGCACAAATTAATGAAATTTTTTTTTGAAAACATTTTGATGCCAAACTTGGGTCTTAGTGGTCCTCCTGAGGTGACTATTATATGTGTTGACTGACTAGTAGAAGCAGGCATGGATACACCATCTAGGGGTTGTTCAGGCCTTTGCTTGCTCGGCCGCGAAGAGGCTTGAGTGGGCACTCTTCACAGAAGTTTCTTTCTTTATAGGTGAGGCCTTTGCCCTGTAGTGGGTGTAGTCAGGCTGATCATGATGTTGATGAATAAGGTTCTCTCTCTCTTGACAAAACAATATCCTTTTTTTTTAATGATTTGAACTGCTTGCAAATACAGATCAGTCGCTGATTTATGCAGGTGTAGAAACTTTCTGGCGAGAACTTGCCATCTCTAAATTCTGTCATGTGTTCCTTTTTTACTTTCCACAGTATGTAGCCACGCTCTGCTAAAAATTCGAAAAAAAGAGCAGTACCCTATTTTTACAAAATTTGCATGTTTGTCAGTGTTCGTTCTACAACATTGAAACAAGTTTTTTGAAGCCATACATGAAGCATGTTGTTTAAATGGGGTTTGGTTTGGTGTCATCATGCCACAGAGTGATATCTTATCTAGTTAGAAGTCTACCATTTTAATCATGATAATATCATAAGATCAGAGAGAGTTTCAGAAGTGCTGTTTTTATGTAAAGTGTTATGCATTGTCCTATTATTGTAACAATCCCAACAGTTGGTCCCAGCACAAGGTGCAGCTTCACAACTGGCTCATCGTGTTTAAATGAGCCTTGCAACACTTGTTCAAGTAATCATTGAATAAGGGGAGGATCCAGCAACTCATTTTAGAGGGGACGGTTCCTTGATATAAAACGGGGGGGGGGGGGGGGGGGTCCTTGCTGTTGTGTTTTTTTTTGTAACATCACAAGATCCCGTCACAGTTGATCACAGCGTCAATACTCTTCATTTGTGCTTGAAGTGGTCCCGCTCGTTTGCCCTAATCCGCAATAAGAGGTGGATTAAATGCACTGAAGAGAGAGGGAAGGGTGCTGATACAGCCTTTGGGGAAGGGGGGGTCGATCGCCCCTACTGCCCTCGGCCCCCTGCATCGAACGGCTCCATTAATTGATTGATATGTGGGGTTTAACGTCCCAAAACCACCATTTGATTATGAGAGACGCCGTAGTGGAGGGCACCGGAAATTTCGACCACCTGGGGTTCTTTAACGTGCACCTAAATCTGAGCACACGGGCCTACAACATTTCCGCCTCCATCAGAAATGCAGCCGCCGCAGCCGGGATGCGAACCCGCGACCTGCGGGTCAGCAGTCGAGTACCTTAGCCACTAGACCACCGCGGGGCGGGCAAACGGCTTCATTAAAAGAGCATGCTACCTTATGAATTAACTGCCACAAGAACTTTGAGAATCCTTCAAGTATGTCTGGAGTTACTGGGGTTTGTCGCAAGCGTCAAGTGCTTTCTCCTTTCATACCACGAGCATGCTGCTGGCTATGTAATGGGATGACAAGGAGGCTATACGATGCAGCCGTTTTTCCACACATGCCATGGCCTTGAGGGCTTTCTCTTCTAGCGCACGTGTGGGCTTGAGGTGGCATCCTGCAGTGGCCGCGATAACTAGGGAGCTCATTAAGCTAAAACAAGCATATTGCCACGCACATTGAGTTTACGGTGCTGTCATCATTCGGGTTTATGGCATGGTTTGTCCACAGAAGAGTGAGTGATTTCAGCTGACTTTCGGAATAATTGTAAAGAACAGGCAGCTTTCTGCACTATGATGTTTCGCTCGCGTGTTCTCAGGAGCCTCAACTACCAAACGGAAGTGTTTTCTAGCCATGCTAAAAAGTGCTGCAGAACCTCTTTAAAGCAGTGCTAAGTCTTCTTGCTCTTCTTGCTCACCAAGCTCGAGTTTTTTTCTTTTCTTTGAAGCCTTTATAACAGCTTTTTGTAAAACTAGAGCGAAAACCTGTATAGCAAAACCTGATTTTACAAAGTTCACTATCTAACAAAGAAATTTCTCTTCTCTGGCAGGTATCCATAGGGTTCACTGTTGTCAGCAACCCTAATTAACAAAACTAACTTCATGACAGACTTAAATTAATCAAGCTTCTCCTGAGATAAACAAATGAACAAGTGGTGCTTTCTTTCTAATTTCGACCCCTATTGAGTTTTCTATGAGCATGCACTCACTTTTGTGTTTAAACATCAGTCACCTTAATCACAAATACGGGTTTATGAATCATGACTTTTTGAACTGAATTGAATACAAGTCGAATATTGGTGACACTGAATTGAATAAGAGTACTTATTGAATACTATACAAAGAGTTTTCCAATAGTATGGCAGCTGTTTTGAAAGCAGCCCTAAATTGGTAGTGTAATCACTCTGGAAACAGCCCAAGAATTCCATAACATTTAGTTTGAAACAAATATTCACAAGCTGTAGCAGAGGAACATACAGAGCATGCTAGGGTCATTCTTTTCAAGTGACAAGAAATTAACTATGAAATGGTAAGGAATGTAAGTAATTACAAATAATCAGTTCTCTATAACATATATAATGTACTATGTGCAGTTCTTCCATTCATTATAATGTACACTTTTGATGCATTGAGGAATGTTGGCCAAGTAGGTATGCACCTGGTAAGTTTGTCTATGGTTTGTTTACACGATTTTCTTATCTTTGCAGTACATTGCGGAGTATTACCTTGAAGACCCAGATTCTTACAACAATGAAATTAGAGAACTGGAAGCCCTGCGCATGGTGAGGTTGCCTCGCTTCTGTGAATTAGCCACAGCAGGACTTAAAGATGACTTTTCATCTTTCAGGCTGCTATCAAAGTTTCCAGAGATTTTACTGGCTGCAGCGTACTCAAACGCTACTACTCACAGTTGCTCTGTCTTCAGAGCCGGTTTCCTATGACTGATGAAGGAGCTGCTTGTGTCCCGTTCATGTGGTTCGTACCTTTCATTGTAGTTTCTAAAAAGGGCAGCTGCTTAGTTATAGATTATATAATATACAGTCACATGTACAATTCTAAAATTATACATTCACATGTTCACTTCTAAAGTTAGGCTGTCAAAACTCTATGCTCTGCGCACGTTTCTGCAATTCAGAAGTTGTTTTGTGTAATCATTGCTCCAAGCCTCTACTAGCGATGCGATTTTTCTGCCAATTGTGCGAAACTGTTCTGAAAGGTTAAACTCACTACAACTTGCAAAAGTCTGGCAGGAATTGCACAATTTATGCTGAAGCTGCATCAAGAGGTCATGTTATAGGCTTTCGGGAAAACAGAACCTAGTAATTACGTGCCCAAAATTGGTCATTTAGTTTCTGAAGTGCACTTGTCACCTCATACATAAAGCTTAATGTAGTCGCAGCTTTAATTACCATTTATACTGCGGTGAAAAAATATGTTGTTGCCAATTGCAACTATCTAAATTACGCTAATAGTTCAGCGACAAATAGGTGCTGCAACACCGTGTCTCACAAACCATGTACTGTGTCGTGAACTGTCTCACCGTGCACCTCACTGGTGAGTGAAATGCATAAACAGCCTGTGGCTGGTAACGTTTATGAAAGTGCGCAAGCTTGCACAATGCTTCACAGGCCGACACCAATGCATGTAGATTGCTAGTATTTCAAAAATATGATCATAAAAGTATGATTACAGTCTCCTCGGATTATAGTGACCATTGTGCGCAAGCCTAAGGCTGAGGATATGTGAGCTATACCAATATGACTGTTAATTTTTGAAGGAGTATACTTGTATTTTGACTTACTTCTGCTTGAGAATGGCAGTTTTGTTCAATAGGAAGCAAACGAAAAAGGCTTATGGCTATGATTGGCATACTCACTCAAAGCTACACATGCAAAAGTAGACTGAGAAGGCTACGAGAGTGCCACGGCAGTGTTACATTTTCTGTTTAAAAAAATTAAAGGTTTCTTGTGAGCACATTTATGGTTGGCGGTTTAGTTGAACACTGCGATAGAAAGTGAGTTTGAACAGGACAAAGCTAAAGTGGCCCACACTTGAGACAACATATAAAATAGAGAAAAAAAGTGGCCATATGTCCTCTTCATAGTTGTGTTTGTTATGTGCTTTCTCCTAAAACAATGAATGTTTCAAATTAGACCAATTTGTGCATTGTTTGATGTATGTGTACAGATTAGAGGTGTTACTAGAAACGTCCAAGCTTATTGTGGTTAGTACCTGAACAACCTCAATCTTTCTGTGACCACCGACCTTATTAACTAGGGTACACGTATGTACCGTGTCAGCTGCTCAGAAACTGTGTGCTGTGAACACATCCTCATCAATAACATAGGTCATGTAGCTGTCTTGATATGGTGCTGCAGGTATTGATAGCCATGCACACTTTCGTGTTGCTGTTACCATATTTGAGCTGTTGCAAAGCAACATCCAGTTGTGTTTGTGTGCTTACTTGTCGCCCCCTCACCCTTGAACAAGCCAAGAAGGGGATACAGGCAACATGGGTCTATGTTTAGTGTCATTTATAGGGTTTGTGGAGTCTCTGAAGCACAGCTTCACTTAACAGGAGCAAAATTAATTATGTTCAGGTGAGTGATCATTCATCCCATAGAATAATGAAGCTGGGATGATATGGGGAGTCATAACTGCTCATTTTTTTTGTAGAAATCATATTTATTATCCCCTGTATAATAGACAATGTGCTTGTGTCAATCCTCGGTAGATAGCACGACGACTCTCACAAATGTGGAAAATGTGAGCTTGGGAACTCCTCAGCAATGTTGATTCACTGCTGTGAGGTAATGTTCTAGCTGCCCTAAAAGGTGCTCCAAGGTGACTTTAACCAGTCACATCACTATTTTACGTCAGGCTTGTAATTTTGTTGTTATTCCATGCATGTTGCTGACCAATTGCACAAGTGTATATAGTTAGGTTCAGCAATATCTCTCCCTCTGTATTTTGACTTTGCCTTCAAAACACTGCCAGTTGCCTCAGAAGCTAGCATTTGTTTGGATGCTGGGATTTTTGGTTAATGGATCTTGTAAGCTGCATTACGTAACAAGAGTCTTTGTGCAGGACTGACATCTACTCAGGAATGGTGTTCAATATCATGGACATCAAATATGAGCAAGCCAGCATTCTCTATAACATTGGTGCTTTACATTCCAAGCTGGGAGCCCTTGAGAATCGGACCAGCTCAGAGGTATTAATGTTTTTTAATGTCAATGTTGTTCCTGGCATTCTTGGTATATCTTGTTGATTGTTTTCAGGGCATGAAGATAGCCTGCACTCACTTTCAGTGTGCTGCTTGGGCTTTGAGCCAAGTGAAAGACCTTTTCCCCCAGCCCAAGGGCAGCGACATGTCCCACGACCTCTTGCTGTTCTTTGTGAACATTTTCCTGGTGGGTAACATTCCTGTTGCTTTTCAATATGGCCACCAAAGTTAGCACTTTATTTGAGAGAAGCTTCAGTGAAATTGTGGTTGTCTGCTGTATATATGCCGTCCCTCATCTTGTCACTACATTAATTTATCGAAAACTTAAAATGTAATGAAAGTAGCTGTATAATAACAATAAATATCTTAATCACCCTGTAAATGCATGAAAAGTGTACACTGCATGTTTATTTGCCTATCGGTTTACTTCGAAATGCTTTTCAAGGCTGCCTGAAAGATTACTACAGAATATTACACAAGAGGGATAGGGGTATTACTCCAAGTGTAAGGTGAGCTCTCTTAAGTATGTAGCGACAAAACTGTGATACAAAATCATACGACTCAACCAAATGTACAAATGAAACTAGTTGACAAAAGAAGGTTAGCCATGACAAGTACAAATGAGTAAAAGAAATTGACTAATGTGTTAAAAGAAACCACTCCAAAGGAACAGCCAGGAATCATCCCACAATTTTTGGGAATACAGTCGGACCCCTTTATAACAGACACTGATATAAGTGACACAGTGTGCTTACAGTAAAATATGGGTTAATAAGAAAATGCCTATGTAGTACTCTGCTTATAGGAGACACCTCAAATAAAATACAAGAATTGCAGCCCGTAGCATACCTCCGATTGAGGGGTTTAGCTGTATACCACTGTTTTGCTCTTCACACTTGTCAGCCTTCTTTTTAAGGTCGCCTTGAACACTTTTGAAGTGCTTACTTTTTATTCGTGGCTGGCTTAGGCTGATGGCTGGGGATAATTTTAGCATAAAATGAAGCACTGCTTTCAATAGATTTAATATTTTACTATGCAGTAGGGTCACCACATCTTTGCTGACTGCATCAGCACATTGTGGCACTCACTAAAACTATTGTGAGTGGAGATAAGAGCTAAGAGTGCTGTCTAATAATTAATTGGATAAATGTAATGTCAAAATTGATAGCTGTGTTGTGCCATCAAAGAAACTATAATTAGCTTTTGTTTTTCTCACGCAAGTTATTAACTAACATGGTTATTGCAAATTGGAGAGTAATATAATTAGAATTTTTGGGGGGTACAACCTTGTCTCGTTAATATAAACCTGCATGACTTTTATGAAATTAGAATTGTCTTGTAGACCTTGGCATCATTATGATAGAAACTTGTGCTTGACCATTAGGGCCAGGCCCAGGAATGTATTTTGGAAAAGTCAATGTTGGACCGTCGCAAGTCTTCCATCACTGCCAAAGTGGCCACACAAGTGGTTGAATACTTTCGTGCGGCTGTGTCACTTCTGCTTGCTGGCTCCACAAGTTCAGACTCTGGCTCCATACAAGAGATTGTTGGCACCAAATTGATGAAGGTATGTTGATAGATGATTGGCATAGGTATACAATGACAGGGCTTGTCAAATACTTTGAAAATGCTGTAAGTACTAGTACAGTGGCATAGGTATACAAAGACAGTGCTTGTCAAACACTTTGAAAATGCTGTAAGTACTAGAAACTGTACTACATTGAAGATACTCTAAGTACTTATCAGTATAGTACAGTTCAATGATCAGTTTTTTTTAAACTGAAAAATTGTAATTGAGCTTGCACCTCCTTGGGCTGGGATGGTTGCATTCTGCCTAGTGTTCAGCATTTGTGGTAAAAATTGGCCCATCAGCTGTATTCAGTTAGTAGGCTGGTGCTATTGCACTGCTTTACATTGCTCGAGCAGGTTCAACAATTAGTAGGAAGGGCCCCTTGAAATGACTCATTAAATGGCTGTCATTACAATTTGCTAGCTTTGGAAGAAGATCTTGGACTTCAAGATGGCCTACTACTCAAGCGTTTCTTGCCTGCACATGGGAAACCAAGCTGAAGAAGCCCAGAAAATGGGTGAACGCCAGGCGTGGTACCAGCTTGCTGTGCAGCATCTCAATGAGGCAACTTCGATTGCAAAGGCGAGCATGTTACTTGACCAATCCTTCTTATTCCTTGTGAGCTGCACACAATGACTCATTTTCTACATTTTCTCACTAGGGCCTAGAAGAGGAAAATCTTGGAGAAACACTTTCCTTTGCAATGGATGTGATTGGTGGAAAGTAAGAAACATAACTCATTGCTTCTTTAGGAATAGTAATTTTATGTGATAAATAAATAAAAGAATCAGTGCCTAAGAGAACCAGGTTGGTCCTATACGTCTCATGCATTTTTGGTCATTTCGAGGTACCGTTCTCACAGGGACTAAAAGATATATTCACAAAATTCATTCATCATTTTTTTCCAAATTTTTTGCTGTTTTCACTGAAACAGATTTATTAAAATCTGATGACTACTAAAAATTTTTCCAAATTTTAGCCACTAAGGCATACATTTTTAAATAATTCTTGTCTGTGAAAATTTGTAACATGATAACTGTACAGTGCATAATTTTAATTTTGCTTCACTAGCTGTATCCACTTATGCAAAATAAAAAAAATAAACTGATTATCTCAAAATACATAGGAAATAATGCTGCCTAAGTATTAAAAAACGTGGTTTTGAGATAATCGAGAATAGAGTTACAAAACAGATGAAAGTGAACACAGTTTGTCTCAAATACCGTTCAACTATTTTATTTAGTAGCTACAAGCTAGGTATTCATTGCCAAAGTCAATTTTTCAGTTTGGAGCCTCTCGTAATACTTGATTTGCTTTTTCTTTTGTGACCTGTCAGGCAGCTCTGTCAACAGTGTATCATTGAGTGTGGTCAACGTTTTTCAGCATCTTGGCTGTAGTTTGGCCAGGCTTCAATCCTAACCATTTCAGAATTTTGGCTCCTGTGATACTACCATCATTGTGCAAGGACAATATCCATTTTACAATCATTAACACTCTGAACCTAAACAAAGACAACAAGGACTCTCTCTACAGCACAATTCCCTTTACCACAAGACTTCTTCCAGGCAATTGGCACGTGCAACTCGGTCTAATTACATCATAAATAATAGTCATGTCCATTAGAGCACACCCGTGTTACCCTGCATGTAATTTCACCTGAAAGGATGCTGAAAAGGCTGAGACGTTCAACGATAAAGAGCTGGCTGGTTAAGCGTTCAGCTCCTCACTACGTCACTGGCATTTAGTAACATTTACATGAGAACTCTATTGGTTGCCGCAAAATTTATACTTGCTGAAGACCTCCTTCACCCTCAGCATCTAAACTTATTTACAAGCAATAATAACACAAGGTGTAATCTAACTATGAGGTGAAAGTGTTCGAACCAATGTGCTAAGAAGACGAAGTGGGAATATAGTGGTGCACAGTGTCTTCGGACTGTCTTAGAAGTTAGCTGACAATTTTTTATACACAGCAGATTCTAGTCAAGCATTTCAGCTTCCAGACATGAAGTCTTTTTTTATAAAAATTGACTGTAACCACAGAGCCCATACAAGGGACTTGCCCAAAAGTGCGTTTTCACTCACGACCTGCTTTTTGCCTACCCTGTGCCCTTTATATGCTAGATATCTTGGGTTGGGTAAGAGGGTCATCTTGGTTTTAGCTTTATATAGCATCAACAGTTCCACATTTTATTTTGAAATGGTATACTATAATGAATAAGAATGATTTTGAATTTTGCTTGTTGTAACTTTTTAACTGCTGCTAGTATGACTTTTTTTTTGTATATGAAAACTAAATTTTAGGCTGAGGTATTAAAGTGAATGTACATTTGCTTAGAAACAAAACAGCGTAGTCCTGAAATTTTGTGCAACAGTTCCGCATGATAGTAGCTGTAGCCTCTATTTAAAGAATGGGTTCCTAGTAGGAATGTGTGAATAGTGAAATTTTACCTGGAATCGAATTTGAATCAAGTAGTGACTAAAAATATTGTATAATATTGAATGGAATATCAAATACAAAAGGGTGTATTAAAAATTGAATGAAGGAACAAAGAAATGAAATCTGCTCGTATACTTGAGCACTCAACGGGGTGAGTGACTGCTATCGAAAGGTTAGAAATCGTCATGTAGAAACACGAGCTGTTCTGCCTGACCTGGTTTGAGGTTCCTTCACCGTGACGTTACAGTGTTTCTTTGTAGTTGAAAACATGTGCTTACTGGGGGCACCTCTTTAGCAGGGATAAAAAAATATTGTGAAGCAATTTCGGCGACACCTGGATAACTGCGACTCCATGCTCTTTCTAGAGTTTCAGAAGATCATCATTTCTTGAGATCAGGGGCTTATTGAAGTATCTTTTTTAACCTTTTCACTATAAGGTTTCAGCTCAGCATATAATTACTTTTTGGTGCTAGCAGTTCAACAGTCTCCTATACTTTTCTCTGTCCTTTTTTACTGGAGCCATGACGCACGTAAACGTCATAATCTCCTTAATAAACATGTGCTTACTTCGAATCTAGGTGTCGTTGAAAGTTTTAATGAAAGGCCTAAAGTAACGACTTTGGCATCAGATTTATCCACCCCACCATAACCAAAAGTGCACCATTTGTCTTTGTCACTCCTTAGATATTAGTCCAATCGTATTTAAGTCCAATTGAATAAAGCTTTCGCTTAGCATATATTATAACCAATGTGGTGACTTGAAATGAGGAGAGTTCCACACGCTTGGAGTGAACGGACACGGTAAACGTGATCAAACCAAACAACACAGATTTATTAATTATTATACCTCACATCAGTTGTGATCAACAGGCTAGAACAACATTACACAAAATTACAAAACACTCAACTACATTACAAACACAAGAACACACACAAGGCAGCTTCATGACACACCTCTGATTTGCATATTTATCTCACAAGAAAAAAAATTGCTCAGAATGGTTACATAACAAGGAAAAAACATCTGTTCCATTAGGTTTTCGTGTGTGTGTGTTAATGAATGATGACTCGGTTTTTTTAAGTTTTAGGTTCAGGCTATTTGCAAAGTCTTTCAGTACAATCTCAACATTTCAGCCCAACCAATCAAGTTAGTTGGCCAGAAAAGGCTCATAAAGTTTTAAAGTATGTCAGAAAAGTGATTTTGAGAACAAGAAGTTCTCAACGTAAAAGCAAATAACTTCGCTTCTCTGCACTACAAAAGCATTCCTGGTAAAAAAAATTTGCACCTGAAAATAGCCAAAATTCGATATGTTTTACCAATCTAGCCATACTTAATATTAAAAAATGTCAGTACTCACACAAACAGTGATGCAAAACAGCATGTAAACAAGCGCTTGTGCTTCTCAGGAGGCACAGTTTTTGGCATCATTCTTAGATGGTGTCGAAAGTTCTTGCGGTCTGGCCACTCCACCATTTCGCTCTATGTAGGGTATTATTTTGTAGTAATACAATTAAGTTTTCTTTGGGTTGATTTACCCTATGATACCCCCTTAATTTTGTGTGTGATATAGATTTAGTTGGCTGCTGAAATTAATTCCAAAGCCTTTCTCTTTCCGTCCTTTATTTTTTAGCAGCTGCTACATGTTGCCTTTTTGAAACGTTGAATGACCTGTGTAGTTTCTATGCAATGGTGTCCGAACTCCTGAGCCAGATAATGTTAATGTAATTGCAACAAAAAGCTCAGAACGGCCACAAGTACTTCCCTTGAACTTAAAAAAAAAAAAATCCCTGTCATTTTTTATGTAGTGAATTGCTACTCACTCAGTGAACCATGGCAGCTGTTTGCCAAATTTCTTGATCCTTTAATGACTGAGCAGGATGCTTAGTTATAAAGGGCCTTAAAAGCCACGGGTATACATTCTATGTTCTACATTCTACACAGATGTCATGATGGGAATGACAAACAGGGAATAGTTCACAAGGGCATGGCAGATAAAGCAAGTGACTGACGATAACTTCAATATTACTGGCTTTATTCAAAATCTTTAGTGGAAACAATCCATGGAGATATTCACCTCAATGACAAGTAAATTGTACACTTTCTTTTTTCATATGAAAAATATTGCATTGGTAATACCGCTTGGATTCAGTGTTGACACGTTGTTGGTGTCTGTTTTTTATAATTGGGCCTGTGGCACTAAAATAAGTGCATTAGTGTTAACATTATTTATTTTTTAAAGATGTTTCAGATGTGTGGTGTCGCTGTATGTGCTGGTTCACATACGAGGGATAAATTCAGATATTAATATCTGAATATTGGGAATGAACCTTGGGACATCTGAAAAATCACCACCCTGGGCTTAAATAGCTACCAGCTTCAAAAACATAGATGTCTGTTAAAAGCTATATATGAAAGGGCAAAAGGAAATAGAAACTTTCTGCCATGAAGAAACTTTCTACCATGGTGGCACTAGCTGTTGAAACATATGCAGAAACACCTCTATTGGCACAGAGCAGTTCTTCACTGAGAGGTTGTAAACGGCTGCGGTGATTGACTAAAAAAAAAACATTAATTTTTATGTTTTGCCATCGGTTAAAGAATGAGGAAAAAAATTGAGGAGCCATTCGACTATGTGAAGGGGGGTGGCTAGCGAAGCTGTTAAGCACATGACACCGAGGTGACACAGAACTTTAAACCTTGGAGACGATCACGCACCCTGCAACTAAATCTGAAATACTATGTCAAGAGAATTTTTTGGCATTTTAGCATACACTCATTTACTAAAGTTTTCCCATTTGAGGAATGTGCATCTTTTTGCAGCAGCATGTGTTGTCTTGTCTGGCCTGCTATATATGCACTTGGCATTTCATGCATCTCTTGCGGCATTTTCTGTTTTGAAACAGATGCTGTCATGTCTGGCTTGGTGTATTTTGCATGATTGGGTTCTTTTTTTTATATTTAGTGGCCCAGTGGTGTTTGCCCAACTTCTGTGATGCATACATTTTTGCTCGTAATAAATAGAATGCCCTAGCCGTGAACAACTTTGCTGTGATGATTTTGCTCAAACCCAGTGCTGAGCTCTTGCGCATTGTAATTTTTGTACCGTTTTATGTGTAACAGGAGTATCAAAAAGGAGTTGGGTGCTTGTTAATAAACTTTGGTGGAATAATTTGTGCACGTGGATCCGATTCAGTAACTGTAGCGGTTTTCCACAATCTTATACGACCCAGGTTTAACGCTGCAAAAAAGGAGAACGAGTTTGTCTACCATGAGAGAGTGCCACCTGTGGAGTCCTTGCCAGAAGTTAAAGGAGCCAACTTGGTCAAAGGCATTTCCTTTAGTCCTACTGATCCAGAAATAAGTGGTCCTGACATTTTTGCGCGGCTTGTTCCAATGGAAGCCCATGAAGCATCTTCTATTTACAGGTGACTATGCTTAAATAAGCCTGTATTGTTAGTGGTTTTTGTTGATATGATACAGCTGTGTCATAATTATGTGTTGCTCATCCTAATATGCAATGACAAAAACATCACAGTATGCAATAGTCCTAGTTGGAAAGTTCTTAAAAGTCTATCCTATTTCCTGTATCACATGCGAAAGCATAGAAATAATAATTGTAATTATAGTCAATATTCACTTTTAGTGCACAAATGAAGAAGGACGAAAAACTATGTGAACACAATTGCTTTTTGTTCTTGTTCATGTGTGTGCTAAGAAAGTGAACAATTTTCACCACTTTTTACATCAATTGTATCTTTTCCAGTCAGCCGAAAACATTCAGGTTCCTTTCCTGACTCCCTTTCTGTGAACAAAATGACTGTTTAGGCATATGATTGCACCATCATATTATCATTTCTTTGGTGTAGTTTGCTTGAACTATTTGTTTTATTGCTTCCCGTACCAGCTCTAGCTTTGAGTGTTGCACTGATCTAAGTGGTGTTAGTGTTCTGCTTTGAGTGTCTCTATGAAATGCATATATATATATATATATATATATATATATATATATATATATATATATATATATATATATATATATGTATGCAGTCTTTGTTTTCGCATAGCGTAGTATAGCTCTTTTTAAATGGTGTGAGCTTTCATAGCTCATATTTTAAGAGGATAAATTAAGTGCTTGGCATACTAGGGGTTTCCGGTTGTTTAGTTTGTTTACTCTTTCCTAATAGCATTTTACTGCTGGCTTGACAGTCTTATGAGAATTTTCTGGCTCTTTTATGCTTCAAAAGTGACACTGAATGAAAGGTTATCTTTGGTAGAACTGGACTAACTAAAGCAATATGGCATGAAATTATTTAATGAGCATTTAATGCTAATTGTCTGCCATGTGAACTTGTGGCTGCTTGGTGCTGAGCAATACTTTGACTTTTTTCTTCCATCGCAAAAACATGCAAGCCAGAAGTTCCATTTGGACAATTGTTAGCACTACCCTTCTCTCCTTTTTAAAACTGTTCACTAAAAGGCTATAGGTCTTATGGTTGGAAATTTTTCGCTCAATTCTCCCAGCACTGTGTATATTATGAAGTTAATATTAACACTTTATCATTTCTGAAATGAGCGGCAAAGAATGGCTCATGATGCCAAAATGGGCTGTTGTATGTTTCTTAAGCACGTTAGGCCTCTTTTAGTATTGTATACCAAACATTGTGTGGATACATGAGTATTTCACTACTTGGAAACTGCGTTAACAAAAAAAGAAAAGACAATAACTAGGTAAATACAGCTGTAGGCTATCAAGAGGCAAATATTTATTTCAAAGACACTCATGTTATACAATATTTTATACAGTGTGCATAAATGCTGTAGACTTGAGTCATCGTTGCAAAAAAGAAAAGTTTTATACTCATTACATGTTTAAATAAAAAACTGCTTAAAGAAGACACTAAACTTGGGAGGGGCAGCAACCTTGCCATCCACATAGTGTCATGGGGCATCGTGCTCCAATTTGACAAGTGCAAGATTTTCAGGAAAAGCAAAGATCAATAGTAAGAAAAGTTTCAAGGCATACTCGATTCACATAAGAGACTTCACATGCATGAGCAAGCCTTCAAGTTGGAGGTGTGTCGATATCAAATTTTTCTTATATGAATGGAATGTGAATCGAAGCTATTTAGAATACGAATCCAATATGGGATAATGAATAAATGCAATTTCCTTCATCAACAATCTTTTACTTTACCTTATATTTATGTTTAAAACAGTACTTTGGTTAGCTATTCTAGTCTGTTAATGCACAAAAAAATGCCACCATCTGTACTTGCCAGGAATCATATGACTGGGCTAAATAGTCGAGCTTGTGACTGTGATGTTCTGGGTTCAATTCACATGAACAAACTTTTTTCTATCATTTGTCAGTAAGAGGCCACTAGTTTGATTTCTGCTGTGACAGCTGCATTCCGATGAGGTGAAATGAAACAGTTAAAGCCCATATACTTAAATCTAAGCGATTATGAAAGCGCCCTTGGTGGGCACAGTTTAGCCAGGTTCGCACACTATTAGTTTTGGCACGTAAGACCTCAGATTTTCGCCAGTGTTCACTGGTCGACATACTAAGGCAAACAGGAGCACCTGGGGTGTCTTTCAACTACACAGAAATACCCTGACTTGCTTCCGTTCTTTTTCTCGAGAACTACGCACTTGCCATTTTCCAAGAGTTTTTTTTCTACTGATAGCCGCACGATCATGACCAAGGAATACTGATTGTACGGTAATACAGTTAAACCTGGATAAAACGAAATCGATAAATTTCCCGAAAAATGTGTTATAAAGAGGATTTCATTATATATAGGTTCGGCATGAAAATTCAGAAAATAAACGCGCAAATTAAACAAAAGGGGGACTGAAGGTGTCGCTAGCCAAAAACACTTATGTTACAGTAAAAAACTACGTTATTATTGCGATAGCAGTTATATAGACTTTCTCGGCGGGTTTTTTTTGTCACTGCCATGTTTCTTAACAAGTCCAAATTGATAACATGCACCCACGCATCGTTACTTTCACAAGCGGCTAAGAGCGCAGGAGCGCTGCTGAAGTGGAAATCAAATTATTCGGCCCATTCCTATTGCCTGGAAATTGCATAATATAACATCTCCCGCGCGTTAAAGGTGCCGTCGAATGCTCAAACAGAAAGTAAACCACCCGTCTTGAATGAGCATGAAACAAAGCAGGGAGGGGGGGTTGGGATTGCTCGAGTAGCAATAATGAACTTTGATTTCAAGGGTGGTCGTGTACTCAGGTGCGCTTGCTATCTCAGCGAGTGTCAGTGCAGTTCCAACGCGAAGGAACTGTGTGAGAAGAGCACTTCTAGAACCCTGGAGCGGCCGTATTTGCTCACACCAGCGTTTTTTAAGAGTTCCGTGATATCGGATCCAAAAGAGTTGGCTACCAGCCTTGCTTCTTATAACATTGCAATTGTTTGCCATCGCATTCATTGCATTGCATTCAACACGCTATTGTGTTGCCAGAACTAATCAGCTAATCGCGAGAGCTAGCCTGCAAACTCGTGGTGCAGCGCAAGACAGAAGCGCTTGACAAGCCGACCTCCGAAGATCTGTCGTCACCGTGGTCAGAGAGTTTCCATCAGCGCCTAACCTGACATCCCCTCGGTGGTGACGACACGGTTGTCCAAAATTAAGAAAAGTCAGTTTCGCCGCAAGGGTGAAGCAATGGATGCGATAGCAATAACTTGGGAGTGTAACGCTGGGAACGGCAAGCAGATCTAATTTGTAGCACGCTGCTCACGCACAAATGACGCACTAAAACAACATACACAGGATGAGAGCGAACTAACAACATTCACCTCTCGACACTTAACGCGCTGTTTAAACAAAAACGAGGCACTAAACATAATCACAGGTACAGATATGAGTGCGAACTAACAAGTGCCTTAGTTGTTACTTCGCTGTGTTTGAAAAGCGCACTCATTTTGCAAATGGTGCCTCTCCAGCGAGCAAAGGGATCTTTGCGCGCCCGGCAACTAAATGCAATCGTTCTGGTCAAAGTTGAAGACGTGCGATTCTCCCTACCGAAAGATAAGCGTGCGCGCACAAGCATCTAGAGGGAAGTAATGAGCATTTTTGCACTCTGAATTGGTTTATATGTACCACAGTTCGTCAATCATCGCTTGCCCTCAAATCTAATGTGCACGTAAGCATAAGCTCGGTTGTGACAGACATGTCTACACAGAGTTTGATAACAATGTCAACAAGCTTGTCTTCATAGTTAAAATATGTTCCCATTTTGGCTCTATGGAAACCTTTCTTGGTCAACTTGCAGCTCAAGACCTTTTACCTTTGTTTTCACCACTGACAGGCACAAATCTTAGGTACACACACAAAAAAAAAATGTCACACCACTTTGTTTCTACTACCTTCAGTGTACAAAATAACTCCTTCAACCCTTTAATGCCTGAACTATGAAACTGCTGAACAAAATAAATAATGTTTTCATTTCCCAGCTTTAAATAGCAAACTTTAAATGATTCTGCAGTTAAATTATACAAAATTCAACTTGAATGCATACTTTTATGTGTGCTGTAAATTCTCCATATGCCACAGAAGCGAGGACCTTGCAACAAAAAACTTGCTTCAAAACTGTGTAATATGTCCTGTGCCACCTCTTGAGTGCATGCACTCCAAATAAACAAAATTATTGAAGATAGAACTTACGTCACCTAGGCCAGAAAGAATGAAGAAGTGAGAGCTGTTTTATGCGCTTCACGCTCTCCACCATCAGCAACAATATAATTGGTTCTAGCATAAAAAAACATTAGATGAGTGGGCACCAGATTTTTCATGCTGAAAGCTACGTTTCCCGTGAGTACTTGACAGCCGACATTTAATGCGGCACGCATTTTGTGACTTGCTTGCTCGAAGTTTTTTGGTATGTCGCAATTTTACGGCACTTGGCAGTAAAGGGTTAAATAGGCCTTTATAATGAAAACAGTTTGGCGTCTTTAGCCATCCGTCTCAAATATTACGTATACAGTGAAATCTTAATGCAACAAGTCTCAAGGGACTGCTAAAGGTTATTCATTATTTTGAAAAGTCGTTGTAGTGAAAGTATTAGAAATCTGCATAAAAATCGTTAATGCAACCATGTGAGCTGACGACCTGTGCTGTGTATGCATTCGTGACCAAATTATGCTCTAATAATAAGCAGGGAAAAAACAAAATATTATGGAACCAGTACATGTTTATTTGAGGAAGAGCGCAATTTATCCTGATGTGGGCAGCTCGACTGCTGATAGACAAACTCTTAAAGGGGCCCTGCAACACCTTTTGAGCATGGTCAGAAAATGCTGCTGATTGGTAGTAGAGTCTGCTGAGAACATTCAAGCCAAATATTATAGCGCAGCACGCGTCCTGCAATTCACAATAAATTATCAAAATCAGCTAAAAATGCTTTCTCTTTTCTCGACAAATGACGGAGGAAACTAAAAAATCACTCGTAGAAGGCCTTCTATCAGCCATTGGGCGATTTAAACATGGTGCGCCTTATCGTTAACAGGGATCGCCGCAGTAGGCTTCTACTTGTCCACTTGTGCGCGTGCGATGACATTGAAAAAAAAAAAAAAAACTTTGGGGGGGGGGGGGAGGAAATGTCTCACGAGACACGCGTGAGATATTTTCTTTGCCCAATGCATCCCCCCTGCTTAGCTTCCAGCACTTTCATTGGGACGAAAGAAGATCAAATGCGATTGCAGCGTGCAACAAATCTTTGTAACTCCGCTCGTACTGGACAGACTCTTAAGCTTTCTTGCGGCAGTTGAATTCGTGAGGCAATACGCTCTTGTAGTGGATCCGTTCCATGTTTCCTTGAAAAAGTGTTTCAGGGTCCCTTTAAACATGTGCACCCTTCTTACACACTGTGAAGCATTAGCATTAAATTCCAATTCTTCACGTTGGTTCGCGTGTGCTGTTTCAACGTCGTCTTTGTGCTCGTCATCATTTCTGCATCACGACAAATGGCACGTATCTTATCGATTGTCAGCTTAGCTCATGTTCATGCTTCGTCATCGCACTGTGCGTAGTGTTTGAGCGTTAGTAAAGCATGCACGGGTAGTCATTGGCGACTTTGTCCCATAAATCACTTGCATCGCATTTTTCACTGTCATAGCATTCCTTTCGTGCTGCTTCGGGATCTCATCTTGAACATTTAATCGCCAATGAAAAGGTTAAAAAACAGCTGTGTAACAAGCACGCAGGTAAAACAGCCCGACGAAAACAAAGGCATTAAGGCAAAACCTGATACAAAAAGCAAATACCAGGTGATGATCATGGCAATAGGACTATCGCACATTAGAATAGGGCGGGCACAAAGAAATATGTGGGCACTCTGATGGTGATGATAGTGGCAGGTACGGAGCTGGGTATTGCTTCCAAAGTAGCAAGTAACTTTTTAGAATTGCTCTTCATTATTTTAAAGTGTTGTGGAGAAATAAGGAGGATAAAATTCGATAGGTTTTTCTGAAACATTCGGTATTCTGAGATTCCTTGTAGTGAAATTTTTTTACATTAGACCAATGGATTGGAGGGAAATTTTTGAAAAAGTCAATCTGAGGTTCTCTATAACGAGATTTGACAGTACAAGTTGCAGTTGACCACGAAATGAACCTACACCTGACCTATGTGAAGTCATGGCAAGGCATGCTTTGTCGCCATTTTATGATAAATCAAAGCAAAATAGCACTTGCTGTTGCCATTGCAGTTTTGTTGTTGCTTCTCATTGTAGTATGGAGGCAGTTTTTAGAGCAACACTCCCTACCCCACACTCGCACCTTTTTTGTTTTTTTGTTTTTCTGTAAAAAAGTGTGCATTATATACTGGTGAGTGTGGCATATCAGTGTTTTTTAAATGTTGTTGATAGTGTCCACTTGTGTTTGTCTGGTCTTGTTCATTTTTTTTTCTGTTTCCAAGGGGTTCAGCTTTGTGGTTGGATTTGTCTGTCTCTCTCTCCTTTTTTTTTTAGCGACTATAAACACACACAGTGTAACAAGCCACTTATAGCATTCATTTCGGCTTGACCACTCTGGGTCGAACCTACATACAAAATGTTCGCTTAGAAGTTTTGCTACTTTTTTGATACCAGAAAATATAGGATGTCTGGATGTATGACGTAAAACATCTTAAAAATAGTTTATTTAACATATGTTTGTCCTAACTTTCAGCCCTCTATGTTATGACACAGTGAGAAGGAGGTCAGTGATAAAGCTTTGTTACTTATGCTCGCATGTATTTTTTTGTTTTTTTACAGTGAAGAGAAAGCAAGTCTTCTACGCTCAGTAACCAGTCATGTAGACAGGAAGAATGAAGAGCTGGAGTGAGTGGCTGAAACATTGCTTATTGCCGTCTAATAAATCCTGTGGTATTCGGTCATTCTTAGTGTAGTTGTGCCTAATGCCGTGTCTTATCTGCAGGCGTATTTCATGTGTTCGGCAGTTAACAGTGCAGCATTGACTACAGTTATCTTTCCTTAATCCCTGACACATCAGTCACTGAAAAAATGTGCACATAAAAAGAAATTGAGTGTTTAGTCATGAGCTGATTGGAGATTACCTTATTTACTCAAATCTAAGCCAGCCAACTTCTAACCCAACCCCATAAAGTTGAAAGCCAGAAAAATTAAATAAATAAATAAAGAGGTAGAATAAAAAGCCTCGAATGTAGGCTGAGCAAAACAACGAAGGAAAGAAAAGATACATGTGATGCCGGGGCGGAGGACTCATCCAGCTTTCTTCTGCGCATGTGTACACATCTGGAATGCGATCTCTAATGAACGCGAACTGACGCAGCTCATCTGAAACGCCTGCCGCTTCATATCAGGGGTCACGAGTGATGTGTGCAGCGTGTCCCCTGTTCATGCCATCACTGCACCTGAGCCTGACTGTGCTAGAACACTTGCGTGCACGCATTTACCATGCCACTGTCTGTGCTACAAGGTTTCCTTGCGCACAAGTCACTCGCGTCTGAAAGCGTGCATCATGCTGAGCCAATGTAGGGATAGCTAGGCTTGCTTTCACTTTTTATTTGTTCTGCACGATGTGGAAACAAACTGCTGTCTGGTGTATTTGGGTTCTTGCCACCTATTAGAAGCGTGCAGTAGGTGCCACATGCTTTGTCTAACAGAGAGTTGAAGATGCTTAGTGTGATTTAATTGTATCGTTGGTGATGAGTTGAATTCGCTCATTCGTCGGTGGCTGCTATCATGTTTCTGGCGATCGCCACACTCGGGCCGTAGCCATAATATTTGGCTGACTAGCACATGTAACCGAAAATGTAAAATATATTTTGTGATAAAGCGTGGCGTTGGCCACACCACAAGTTGTGGGGTGCACTTTGAACTGGCTGGCATATAATGAGCCACGACTGTGTGAGCAATCAGCAAAGACATCTCCATGACCATTATGCAGGTGGCAGCGATAACTGACTGCGGTGCTCCTTGTTGGCTGTTCGAGTGGCCACTTTCTGTCGCAATACTGTTTTTTGTAGGCAGCTTTATCTGTGGCGAATATTTTTCTCAGTTTCACTCATAAACTGGCACAATATTTTAAATCCTCCTATCTAAGCCGACCTTAGTGTTTGTTACATGGGCATTTGAAAATACTATCAATTGATGTACCAGCTAATACTATAATGACCAAGAACAGGGAATAAACAGGAGTTGCAGATATTGCAGATATTCTTGTAGACATAAAGCGAAACAAATTGACCTGGACTAGCTTCGCAATGCACAGGCGGGCTTTGTAATGCCAAGGGATGACAAGCGCACTCAAGCTCAAGGTAGAGAGTTCATTGTAAATTAAAAAAGTTCACAGGGATAAAATGAAACTAGCTCGGACAGGATATTGGAGATCATTGGGAGAGGCCTTTGTACTGCAGGGGACTTCAACAGGCTGAGAATGATGGATGATGATTGCCAACTTGTCTTTATTGTGGCACCAATCCAACATTGGTCTTTCATTAACTCATGTGTGCATAATACTTCTCTTCGGTTGTTTATTAAATGCAAAGCATTTTTTTTTGCTTACTGCAGACACTTCGGACATTTCTATCTTAGTCTCTATCTATCTATCTAGCCACTTACGTATAGGTGCTCTTGTGATTACCTCCTTAACTTGGGGTAGACCAAAATTAGTGTGGGAGGGTAAGAAGGTTTGAAAATAATGACTGTCTGGTCATGACATGATTAGTGTGAGAATCCTATTACGTACGACATCAAACTCTTTCCTCCAAACAAGTGGCTAATACTTGTACACATGTAGTGATATGCAGGTGTGTGCCACAGGTGTTTGACACTTTATATCTACCGAGGGACAGCAAAAACATACATTGGTAATTTGAATGCGAGAGTGTTAGGAAAAACCGACATCGGAAGCGTTGACATGACGAATGCAAATAATAAATTTTATGGTCCCAGTAGGAATTAGAACTCAAGCGTTCTGTGTGGCAGTCAAGTATTCTATCATAGAGCCATGCCAGGTCTCGGAACTGCTTCAGAAAAAGACCCTATGCAGGTGTAATATTTGCAAAATATCAGTTGTGGTTGCAGTGCTGCCTATGTAACTATTAAACATTATATATGTACTCCAATAATGCAGGTGCCATGTCGGGAGAGTGTCAATTGTAGTTAAGCGCCATCCACTGCATTTAGTTTACATAGCACTAGCCAGATGTATACCACCCTCGCAAGCACAAGCACTACATTCCAGCTTACCGCTTCTGGTGTTGGTAATACCCATGTTGGTCTTTGCACTGTTAGACAACTATAAATAACATGTTATATAAAACATATGCGACTGTTCAACATACATATTTGACACACAACAAACATTTTAGCACGGTTCATTCTAACGTTTCGGCCGTGGGATCAAAGGCATGTTCGAGCATACACTCAAACCTCGTTATAACGTAACAGGATATAATGAAATAATGGATATAAAGAAGTAAAGAAAATTCCCCTTGAATGCTCCATTGAGAACTATGCATTTTAACCTCATTGTAACAAAGTAAAATTGACCGGTAAATAGATATAACGAACTAAATTAGTCTATCAAATAGTCTATCAAAAAAAAAAAAGAACCAACCGTAGTGTGTTAAGTATATCGTTTTCTGTGGAGTTTGACGCTCGTGTGGCGCGGCTCTTTCGAATCTACTGCGCCGACCTTACAGTCACGCCACGCGCGGCTGAGAGAGCCGTCTTCCTCACATAGCCAGCGCAGAGGATTGAAGAAGTGCTAAGCTTGTCACATGACTGAGAAGCGGCGCTGCGGTGCAAAGCGATTTCCCTCTCACGACGGCAATGACTGCGTCTTTGCTGCTACCCTCTGCACCAAGAAAGGAGGACTTTCCGCGACAGCTTTTTTTTTTTCTCCTCTCTCCATGCGCGGCCTTGAAAGGAGGAGGGTCTCTAGGTGCAGAGACGGAAAAGGGAGAGGCCTGGCACAGGTGCGTCGCAGAACGTCACTTAAGAGACGGCAAACTATTTGCGACAGTCTTTTTTTCTTTTTTTTCTTTTCCTTCTTCGCACACAGCATTGAGAGGTGCCACCGCGGGATCGGGCATGGTGCTGAGAGCATTTTCGGAGCACGGTATGTTCGAATTAACTGTCCCAAGTGCTCGCGTGTTCGAATTGCAGGGCGTTTTTGCCCATTGGAATACACATCGCTTTGACGGGACCTCAGCGTGAGTTCAAATTAACCAGAAGTTTGAATTAAGCGTATTTGAATCAATGAGGTTCGACTGTGTTTATTTTTCGTAGCAAGCATGGTCACGTATCGGCACATCGGTCCGCGAGGCGGTTTCCTTCTTTGCATGCTTATAGGTGTGTGCCCATCTGAGCATACATTGCCACAAACTGTTATAATCGATATAGCGAAATAGTAATCGATATAGCGAAATAATATAGCGAAACCCCTTCAACTTCGTTATAACGAGGTTTGAGTGTATAACACTTGTACATATGTTTAACGTCATTTAGTAATGTTTCGCTCAACAAAAAATGACACCCTAGTCACCTTCCCTCTGCGCGCTTCGCATAACATCGATTCCCAAGATACATGGGATCTGCTGTTTTTCTTTTTCTTTTCAAAACAATTTTAGAGAGAAATGGCGGTGAATACAGCAGTTGGTGACTAGTGGGGAAGTGACTGAAATCTGAAGCACTGAGCCTGTACCAACTGCCTGAGTTCCTGCTGATACCCGGGGTGGGCATGATTCCTTGGGCACAGTGGCACAGCCTTTTCAAGAATGGTCTCCTGGCTTTGAGGAGTTTTTATCCACCCATCTGTGTGCCGTAAAGCTTTGCTGTTCCACTGTTTGGGTGTGAAAGGCCAACGCTTGTAACTATACATTGTCACAGAATGAACTATCGACGCTGTATGCAGTAGGAAAAAAAAGTGGCAAGAGCAGTGAGGACAATGCAGCGGCAGGGCTGGGCAAGGATACTTTGAATTTGTATCGTGATACGGTAAAAGATACTCAGGCAAGAAGTATTGGAGGTACAGATGCAAGATACTACTGCAACAATTGTATCTTAATATACTGTGATACAATTTCAAAATTGTTATACAGCCCCAAAATGTAGTTACGAATGGCTACATATGCGAAAATGTCTGCTTGTAAATTTCTTAATTGTTATTCATTTCATTTCATTTTAATGAAATGTTTGTTAGTGTTTCAAAAGTTTCGTCCTTCTTGGGTTAAAGTACATTAGTTACTTCCAAAAGAATGTATTATGGTTTGCTTTAGCTGCCTAACAGGACAGCTCTTCAAGCACTCTGCTGACAGCAGTTCTTGCTTGTCATTTCTATAAATGTTGGGAGTTACTGCTGAGCTTGCCGACCAGCTAGCGTATTGCCATAACCAGACGAGCTTCAATAAGTAGCTTTCGCATGATGGTGCAAATAGCAGTGTGCTGTTTTACCATCCAGAAGAAAACTGCTTATGCCACACCACACAACCGGTGTACAGCAGCCATAAGTCCAGTAGCCACAAACTTTGCATACAGCACATAAGCTGCAATTACTTTTCATATTCTTGTTGTCTGCTCGCGTAATGCATTCGTTGTCCATATACTGACTAACGTGCAATGATTTTTTTATCAAAGAGAATACTGCTCTCTAAAAACGCTTCAGACCTATTATTGTATTGTAGTGGTAACTTCATAAGAAAGTGGCAGTTACTCTGGTAGAGACAAAACTATATATTGTGCTGATGTACCGAGAAAACTGAGTAACTGAAAGTACTTGCGAAGCATGTTGTACTCTGACAGTGGCAACAAACTTCATCGGTCATAGGTAGCCTGATCATCGGCAGAACATGTCTTATCGTATGCATCAGTGATCGCACCTTCCACCGTTATTGCTCGTGCTTGCGTCAGCTCCCAAATGAGCTAGAATACTCGCGTACTGAGCGTCACCTTAATGGTAATTTGTAGGTTTTTATGTTTCAAAACCACAATATCATTATAAGGGATACTGTAATGGAGGGCATCCAAATTATCTGACCATAATGTTCAAGCTGTTAAACCTAAGTACATGCGCCTCCAGAATTTTGCCTCAATCGCCATGTGACTTTCGTGGCAAGATTCGCGTGTTCTCATAAAAGAACGGTCTGGGAAGATCTCGAATGTTCCGAAACATTGCGGTGCGGCTTAAGTTTTTATGGTTTAAACCTAATAAGACAAGAATGAAAATAAGAGTGGGTGGCAGTATGGTTGCAGAAATTGTCGCAGCACAATGCCTCCATTCATGCCATTGCTGCCGATTGCTCTGCCTACCTGGCAATTAGTCATAGTAAATAAAAATAAAAAATCTGCAATAAAGGAAAACTGTTATATCTAAAATAGGAACGCTTGTCAACGTCCAACATTCATAGTGAGTAAGTATAGGAACATGGTACAGGCGTAACTCTTAATAGTTTTGAAAATTAAGCATGTATTGTCGACTTACCTGTTGAGGTTAGACAATAAAAAAAAATCAGTGCCCATGGGAAATTGCCTGAAAGGGCTCGTTTGGGACACTCATGAGCATAAACAATGCTTCTAGAATTCCCTTCACATGATTTGGAATGGCTCCTAATTATTTTCATTATTGTAATACAAATTCAGTTTCGCTATTTTACTAAGCAGCAAGCAGATTGTTTGGTACTGTATACTCAATGCATGCCTGCATGACATATTTTTTCTCCGAATCCTCTTGGTAGAAGAGTCAACTCAAGTGAATATAAATGTGTAAACAGTAGCAGGAATAAAGCAGACAGTTTAGAGTAAGGATAAAACAGAGAGCCTATTTTGGCTATAAATTAGAAGTGACTAGCTCTCCAGTCATTTTTAGTCAATAGTTTTTAATATTAAAATTGAAAACTGGCCTTACATTTTGGGACCAAATTGGTCCCTTCTTTAGGTGATGACTGTCTGGTTGGCTCCGAAGCTAGCGAATTTTCTTAATGGCACCCCTCTCCACTATGGTTCTTCCCGTAATTCTTGTTGCTGCGTTTTCTCCACTGGTTCTGCAGACCGTGTACATATATATTCGGCAGGGCCCCAGTTGAGCATTTAATATTTCCAGGTGTTAATGGGAAATGCCAGGACTCTAAGAATTGCCTTTTGGTGTGGCTACCTTGCGTGTCGACGACAGAGGCAGCATCGAAGTTGATGCGATGATCCATCTTTTCGCTGTGTATTCTGTGAGAGCTTTTCATGCAGCATTGAACTGTTAAGCGATGTATAAAGCTAGAAAAAGGAGCAAAAAAGTTATATGACATTACATCTAGCAACGGTACCAGCGATGCTATAATTAACATTTGTGCATCAGCCAGTGGCATGAAATTTAAACTTACATCCAAAAAAATCTCTCAAATCACTGATGTGATGCGTGAAAGCCATGCGATGCAAAGGAAGCTCGTGCTTCAGATTTCTTCATGAATTACCGCGCAGGAGAGTGGCATCCGAATATATGTGATTATCCTCGGCCGCATTGTGGTACGCGGATCTGGTTAGTGGCCAGGGAAAGTGTCATGGCAGTGACACAACTAAAAGAAAAGAACGAGAGAACAAAAGGCACGGGGGCAAGCGCAAGAATTTCTACGTTCATGCACTTGTTTCTGTCGAGACTGCGTGAGTGAGTGCTGTGGTGTTACTTTGCTCCACCAAAAGGGACACGCACATCTCATTGCCTGCCCTCACAGGTGGGCTCTGGCAGAAAGATGAAATTATGTCAGTGCCTTAGTTTTATTTAAGAGGCTTAATATTACCAGTACCAGCTTGAAAAGTGGATTTCATTCATTTATTCATTCATTCATCCATTCACAAAACACCATTGAGGTTCCTGAAGCCCATTTTTTTCAGACGGACGCGAGCCGTGTCTATGTCGGTATTGTTAGGCTGAGCCTTATGGCACCTTTGCGGACCCTCTGGAAAGCACATAGCTGAATTTAATGTGTAAACCGTGAGACCATCTTGAGCCCGTGAAGCCATTGTTCTTTGGGGGCGGCGAGCAGCGCAGCTGAATCAGTGATTATTTCGCACTGTAGTATTGCGATAGCAGTAACATGTATCTTGAGATGCTCAGTACATTATTGAGTGTATCAGAAATACAGATACAGATACTCGTCTTGCAACACATATGACGATGCAGATACAAGATACACATTGAGTATCTAAGATAGTATCTATGATACATTTATCTTCGATACTGCCCAGCCCTGCGCAGCAGTGGCTATGTTTGACGCCGACTTCATTTCAAAAGCAAACGTCATGGAGCAGCACCAGTTCGGATAGCAGACGCAACTGCCTGGGGATACTGCAGCAGCATTTGTCACAGCATTGCATGGCTTAGCATTGAGCTGAAGCTTTGGTGAGAAAACTGATGACTTCATTTGTGGCGAGCCTGTAGCAAAAACGACCTAGTTCTTCGAGAATGCCTGCTTGTGTAAGAAACTTCACTTATGCTTGAAGATGTGCTAGTTTAAGTTTTAAGTTGTCATGAAGTACTCACTTCAGCTGCAGTCATCAGTGGCGAGCATCCGAAAAGTGGACAAGCATCAGATGCCATACTGTACAGCAGTGTGACCACCTTCTCCACAGTTTCCACAGTTCAAATTGTGCTCTTGCTGTGGGTCTTTACGGCATCTTGCAGATTCAGAGACATGCAAGGCACGAAATAAAACATGAACAAATGTGGCAGATGAGCACATATTCAGTGTGTCTGTCGAAGCAGCGCACTTACTCTCCCAGAAGTCAATACCTGCAGTACATCTAGAGACTTCAGCTTGTTGCGTTTTTGCTCTGCCGAACAGAGCAGGAATACATACATACTGAAATCCCCATGGGAGATGTCGCCATACGTGTTCTTGTAGATATAGGCTTTGCTGTCTCCATTCTGTCAGCCATTACGTATTCAAAAGAGAGAGACAGATAATTTATTAGAAAGAGGAGAGGTCGGCCTGAATTAGCTCTCTCTAGCCTGCTACTCTGAATAGAAGTGGGACGGGGGAAAAAAAAAAGGAGTGATGAAAAGTGGCTATGGGGACAGAAACAAGTTATGAGTATATACAATAACGACACAGCACTGTGGCTTCGCTAGAGTCTAGTTTACGTTCAGGCAAGCTTGTGGATGATACTGGCACCCATAGCGAATTTCAGAATGATGCGAAGCATTATTAATGTCTTCTTTATCAAATGAAATTTCACAAAAGTCTAACAACTTGAAAAAAAAATAAGCAATTACTATATGCTCCTTATTTGAAAGTGGACTATATATGTCTTGTGCAATATAAAGATAAGCTGTGGAAATGGAAAGGGAGCACACTTGCTATATTTCTGCACCTTTGTTTTTTTTTGCAGCTTAGAAATGGTAGAATATTGTTTATATTTCCTTATCTTTTAGTTAACCAAAACTTTAGTTAAACAAAACACTTCCTTTTTTGGATTTTACGTGGAGTTAATTCGATATACATCACAACTATAGGGGGGGCTTTATTTTTAGCTGAAGATTTCTAAAAAAGATATAAATTTGGTCTGCTTTTAGTTCAGTTTTAGGTGCTGGGATGTTATGTATTCCATGAAAATGGTAAAGTTACACTGTACAGTGTAGGTAGCAATGGTGAAATGTGCTAGTGGATCCTCATGGTTGTTTTTCAACAGAACCTTCCTGTCATCACTCAACCTGGATAAAAGCATGCTGGTAATGGACCCCCAAGCAGTGCCGCAAGAGATTGTGCAGTGTTGTGCCAGGCTGAGTGTGTGCCCTACAGCTGTTAGTGACCTGGTGCTTACTATCCAAGGTGAGCTCCTGTTGCTTTTGATTTCATTTAATTCCATCATAAGAAAAAATAATATGCAGTAAATATGTGATTTGTTCTGGTGATGCCTGATCACTCAAGACACCTTTGCAGCCCTGCCACGTACTCTATAGAGCTCATGCATAAAGATGCCTGTAGGTGCTTAAATCCTTTGTTAGCCGATTTTTTCATCTTTTTTTCTGTCGAAAATAACATGAATTGAAGACATCACTTCTCCGTACCTGCAAAATACGAGAGACTCCCTCATTTCGACGAGTTCTTGTAATTGATAGTTGACACGAAAATCTCCGAGAAATCGTAATTTCTGTGCGTGATTTCGCTGCACTGCAATCCGATCCAGGCTTTTTGCAAACCCATCGCATTTTATTGTAAACAAGTTTAGGAGGTGTTCATCTAAACGTGCCATAGAATCGAAACTGGCAGATACGAATAGGATCATTGGGCTGAAATTCGGATGTTCTGTAGACTTTTCCTCATTACGGCAGGTCGTATAAACTTTAGTACGGAAACTGTTGAACGAACGCTGAGAGGAGCATGCTTGAAGATTTTGAAAGACACTTGCCGCCAGCGCATGATCTGTCGAAATTGTTGTTATCATTTGCCACAATATCTATGGATGAAACCGCAGTCGCTCTTGACATGATCATGTGTGGCGGTGGCGTAACTGACAGAACTCTAAAAGTGCATGCCTGTCCAACGCTCGACTAATCAAAGTGACGTTGCTTTCCACAAATGCTACGGACAAAACAGTGGCAGATGCGATCATAGATAGCAAAAAATAAAACAAAAACATGATTTCGAAGGCACATGCACAGCTAGCACAAGCAGATTGGAAATGAAACTACAGTAAAAGCTCGTTAATTTGAACCGCAAGGAGAAGCCGCCTCAGTTCAAATTAAAGAAAGTTTGAACTAACGAAAGTGAAGAACAACAAAAACTGCGAGTAGGGCATAATTTAATTTTTTGAAAATATCTGTGATCGCGGTCTGCCTTCTTTCCTTGAAGGCGGCAGCCAGCACTTCTTGTTCTAATGAGCGCATTTGGCGGAAGACCTCTTCTCCGCCTTCTTCAAAATTTAAGAAAAGACGGGCGGCATTCAATCTGGCCATGACTTCCGCAGCAGAGGGCCGCCTTGGTGCTTTGTCCTCCTCCTCATCATCGTCACTGGCAGCGACAGGTTCTGCACTTCTCACCTGACATATTATGTCGCCATCCGTGAGTGCACCACGCACCACTGCACTTGAGTCCACATCGACGTAGTCCGCAAAGGAGACTTCTTCCAAAAGATCTGCCATGGGGGTGGTGACATTGTGTTCGAGCACTGGTGGCTCGTCAGCTTGCAGAGCTTTGGTGCTGAAGCCACAGTGGCGACTGTAGACTGCAGCTCTTAATAAGACTGCAGCTACAGTCGCCAGCTCTTAAGTAGACTGCAGCTCTTAATTTCAAGTTTTCCACTCAGCAGAAGATGGGAAAATTGGCTTTATTTGACGTCCTGGTATATGTATGCACCTCATTGAAAATCGAAACTGCAGAACAAAATGACCTTGCTAAGTCTTGGGGAACAAAATGCATGCAGCTTTACAGTGGAAAACAAGAATACACAGCATGCTGGTAAATTTTTTGTTGCTCGTTTTTGTTTGTTTGTATATGTGTGCTTGTGTGGTATCAGTTATGCAGCTGTTCACATTCGTGAGGGACTACATTGCTGCAGGTCTGAAGGAGCTATATCACAGTGTGGACAAGGACCTTGCACAGGTGGAGCAATTGTTGAAGGAAGAGCAAGAAAAGGAAGCAGCCCACGGCTCTGCATTTGGCACAAGGCCACCCTCAAACCTGATCAAAGAGCTTACAGCAGAGTTTACCAAGTACCTGGAGGTACACCAGCGCACAGCAGATTCCAACAATGCCCTGCAGAAGAGTTTGGCTGCCCACTCAGCAAACCTTAAACTGCTGGCTAGCCCTCTAGAAGAAGTGGATAAAGCACTGCCCTCAGTGTCACTGCTTGATGGTGAGGGTTTTTGATTCTCTTGACAGTTTTGTATGGACCTTTCATATGGTCTTCAAATGTCTACTGCAGTAAAACCTCAGTGATCTGAATCTTGTGGGTTCACCAAAAACATTTGCATCATCGAAAATTCCGAAAATATTCATGTCATCCGATCGATATAGCTCTTAGTATGTGACAAAGGAAGCTGGCATAAGTCTTCATTTGTTGTTTCTCAGTGTCCGCCGCCTCGGTGGTGTAGTGCTTACGGCGGTCAACTGCTGACCCGAAGGTCGCGGGTTCGATGCTGGTCGTGGCGTTTCACCTCTATTTCGAAATGCCAGAGGCCAGTGTACTGTGCGATCAATGCACATTAAAAAACACCAGATGGTCGAAAGTTTCTGGAGCTCTCCACTATGGCGTCCCTGATAATCCTATCGCGGCTTCGGGACTTCAAACACCAGATATTATTATTATTATTATTGTTTCTTCAAGCCAGGTCAACATCATAAACAGCCCTGAATGATTGCCAGTAACATTTTTAGGCGTCATTGATCATACTTGTATTCTTAAATGTATGGCATGTGCGTGTGTGTGGAATTAGTCAACCAGATTTGTTGTGACCAGTGACAGCTGTTAACAACTTCCTAATCTTTGTACACATTTCCGCATCACTGTAGAGTACTGCAGCAAACGTACCACCTTAAGAAGCACTTTGCACACGATAGATAAATTTAGGACCTGCTGTCCTTTGTTTTTATTGCTTTTTTTGTTACGATGGTGTTGGGGATTATTTCAGGAGATTTGTGGGCCACACCTGTACAATCGGGAGGTTTGCTGAAAATTTGGGAGTCTCCCTTGCAATTAGGATAATTGGCAGGTGTGGGCATTCCCAACAATTGTGCATGTTGACATTGCTTGGTCTAGCTTTAAGATCGTCTGATTCTTCTCATTTTGCTCCTCGGCCACCTTTTGTAGGATGTTTGATTGCAAGGACATGCATACCTGCGAAGTCTCCCGGATTGGCCGGGAGACTCCTGGATTTGGACCGTTTCTTCCAATTGTACGGTTGTCATGAAAATTTTCCGGAAATTCAAATTTTTGTGCGTGATAAGGCCGCCTTGACAAAAAAGCAGCTAAATCTACTGAAGACTTTTCAAACCTACCCCATTTTATTATGAATGAGTTTAAGAGGCGTTCATCTAAACGTACAGTAGAATCTCAGGGATGTGAAACCGCGGCAGATGCGAATTCGTGAAATTACCCTATGTCTGTTGGGCCTGAATTCGAATTTTCCGAACACATTTCCTAATCACGGCAGGTGACACAAACTTTAGTACGGAAATAGTTGTATGAAGGCCGAGAGCAGCGTACTAGAAGCTTCGGAAGTACGCGTGCGATTACTCACGCATACTGGAAGTATAGTGTGCGCAATTGTCGTTGCCACATCCGCTGTCGATGAAACTGTGGTTGCTTTTGACGCGATCATGTATGGCGACGACGTAACTGACAGAGTCACCAAAGCGTGCGTGCGTCCAACACTCAACCAGTCAAAGCAACGCTGCTTTCCGCAAACCCTGCGGACAAAACCACGGCAGATGCGATCGTAGACGGCATAGAACGACTATTTTGAAGGCGTGTGCGCAGTCAAGCGCATGGGGATTGAAAAAGGAACTATCATTTGCCTCAACTGCCGCGCACAACATCGCGGTCGCGGCGGCGCGATAGCGATCTACAAGCTCCGAGGGCATGCAGCGGTAGACTAAGGGCAGTAAATACGTAAAAAAAGTCAGTTTCGCCGCAAGGGCGAAGCAATGAATGTGACAGCAACAACTTGGAATGTCACACTGAGAACGGCAAGCAGATCGAAACGCGCAGCGCGTTTCTCACACACAAATGACGTGTAACGTAACGCCCTGTTAAAAAAAAAACGATGCGCGATACATAATACATAATCACTGGTACTGATAAGGGCAGACTAACAAGTGTCCAAGTTATGCCTTGCTGTGTATGAAAAGCGCACTCTTTTCGTTAACGGGGCCTGTGCATAGACTAAAGATACCTTTGTGGGCCCGGCAACTAACGCAATCATTCCAGTGAAAGAAGGCACACGAATCTCCTCACCGAAAGATTAGCGCGGGCGCACAAGCATCAACCCCCCACCCCTCACCCCCCCAATCACGGGCAAAGTACGTGTCAGAGATAAGCGCGCGTTGGCGCATTGCGACGAGCTGGACACTGAGCGCAGGCGGCTTCTTTTCCTTTATAGAGTGTTGATATATATAGATAAGTATACATATACGGTGAATGACGGCAGTGGCGGCGACGGCAAAAAACCAGCCTAGACTGTCAATAACAAAGGAGCCAGACACGTTCTGGCGTTCCTGTCAAAAGAATCTAGTAGGGAGCAAAGCTTTGACCCGCACTTTTGCGGCAGCCAGCTGCGCCATCCCATCCGTTCATGTGTGTCCCGGTAAGGCATACATGAGCTCTTTTGAAGGAAATAAATTCTGCTAGTTGTGTTGATCCTTTGCGATTACGATTGAGACCCACCCCCTCTTGTTTTTTGCGATGTTTTTTTGTTTGTTTGTTTGTTTGTCCTTGGGCTTTTTTTTTGGTGCAGAAAAAAATAAAAGCAAATAATTCAGCCCCCACCCCCGCTGCAGAAATCTCCCGGATTCAGAATCCTTGAACTTGGCAGGTATGGACATGGCTTACATCGACGTGGCAACTCGTGTAAACACAGTACAGTGACGCTGTCTCGAACACAGCAACATGTGTCGATTCATAGGGAAAATGAAAAATAAACAAATGGTGAAGCCAACATCATCTTTAATCTTAATGTGAATTCACACGAAAGTGCATTAAGGTTTTCTAGATTTGTGCGAATGATCTCCGAGGCTATATATAGTGCAGCGTGCATGTGCGCGTATGGGCTGCAGGGTATTGTTGTGTCTTACACGAAAGTGCAAGTAGCACCTGTTCATACCAGTACGCTGGCGTACATTGATATAAAATGTCACGGGGGAAAATCTATTCACAACAACTGCATTCCATTACATTGCAGGCTAATGGGCTTTGGCCGGGACCACAGAAAAACTCCTGTCACTCCGAAATTCATACGAGCAGTGATCGTATCACGAAGGTTTCACTGAATTTTAGCCACAGCATTTTCTAACTTGTTCACCCATTCATAGAAATCAATTATATGCATCATGCTTAGAATGAAGTGGTCTCTGATGAAATACAGTGAAACCTCATTAATTCAGACTTCATGGGATTGGAGGAAGCCTAACTCAACTGAATGTTCAATTTTACAGCGGAGACTGAGTACACAAACTAATGCTTACTATATCAACACAGTGCCTGGTAATCATAATGCTGTTTTTTCGTGTAGAACAATATATGCACCCTCTCTCTCTCTTTGTAACATCTCTTTTCTATAATCTTTTATTTCCCTCACCCCTTTTCCCAGCACAGGGTAGCCAGTCGGTCTAAGACTAACCTCCCTGTGCTTACGCTTATTTCTTTCCTATTTATTTTGTGTGGAACCCCAGAAATTATGATATTAAGATGTATTTATTTAATTAATTTCGAAGTGATCAGTTGAATTTTACTAATTAATATGTAATCAATAACTTTGATGTATTTACTAGAAGTTAGCAAATATTCAAATTTTTAATATTTTTCTAATAGTGTTTGGTATTCGATTCAGTTTGCACTAGAATTTAGCTATTGGAATTATTTGAACTTACCGAAGACAAATGCAGTCAACGTTTGATCAGCAGTGGCCCTTTCAGATTTTCAATATGCTTCACCCCATCACACTTGTATTGTGGCAAAGCTGCTTTTTAGGTTCTGCTACGGTCACAAATGTATTAACTTGAGAAAACTGTGGTTCCAACATAAAGATGGTTTACGTGGCAGAAGTGGGGACCCAAAATCCATGCTGTTTTGGTCCTGAAGTCGGAAAAATCGGACGCTGAAGGTTTTTAGCATTCGAAAATTCGTATGTTCATATATATTGACGTCTACAAGGCAGATTTGGAACTCTAAACTCGAAGGGAGCACACCCTTGTCCTCCACATCAAATAAAATTGAATCAAGCTTTATTATTTTATAACACACAAGAAGGATGTACAAAAGGAGGTCCTGTAGTATACACTGAAATGGGGCCTCCTATGAAATGTAAGCATAAGTATTTTATGGCAACAACAGTAGCAGAAAAAGTAAGATTACACGGTTATGAAGAATGAAATACAGATACAATGAAATGATAATGCTAACATAAATATATGTCATCAGAAATGTAAGCTGTAAATAGAAATAGCAGAAAAAAACAACAGATTAAAGAGAGAATAACATGGCGAGGGGAAAACCAGTTAGGCAGAAGAATTAATGCCACATAAAAACTTTTTCAATTCATGGGGAAATTTATGGGTTTTTCAGGTTTTAATTAGAAATAGTAATGTATTCGATAATGATATGGCTGCAGAGTGAACTGTCTGTTTGTCAGAATTAGTTTGCACTTTGGGTAGAATGAAGGTGTTATGCTGTGCAAAATGTGTTGGGTTGTTATTTAGTAAATATTACAAAGAAATTAAGAGTAAGGAGATTTTATCATTCATTAGTTTGAAAAGAAAAGTGGCGAGTGGTGGCAACATCAAGAATTTTATTTTCTTTTAGCTACAGTTTAGCATTGTAGCTTGGTGGGCTTAGCGGGATCAATCGAATGGCCTGGTTCTGAATGATTTGAAGTGGTTTTAGGGTAGTGGTGTACATGTTACCCGATGGGGTTATTCAGTAATTAATGTTTGAGTGTACAAACGTGTAATAAAGTGAAAGAAAAACCAGTCATGGAAAAAATGGATGTGCTCTGGTGAGGATGCTTATTTCATGTGATAACTTCTTTTTAATTTGTGTTACATGGTTCTGAAATATTTATGCCTAAGTAAACACATTTTTCATTTGCTGATAATGCAATCAATGAAAATGGGCAGAATGCTCTGTGGTGATTTATTTTT